CTACACACTCCTGCAAAAACATTTTACAAATACCTTAGGTTATAGATTTGTTTGCTCTTAAAATCTGCCCTTTTATATGGTACATTTGGAATGAAAAATATCTACTGAAAACCAAGCCCAAGGTAAACTCTTCAGAAAACATCTAGAGGTTGCCTGACATCATATTGAGTTCAGTGGCAGAAGAGCTGGTGGAGAAGTTTTCATTTGTTTTTGCATGCCCCTTTAGAGAATCCCTAATGAGTTAAAGATTTGAATATTGAACATCAAAACAGAATTCTTTCAACTTTCAATCATTTTCTCTAGCCAGTGACCACAGAACTGTACTTTGAGACTAATGGCTCCATTCCACCACTAGATACACAGTTTTGCTGTGATGGAGATTTGCTTCAACAATCAAGCTGTCATTTAAAGAGCAGAAAGATGTCCTGAAAAACAATGATAGCCCATGTGCAGTGTGAAAGAGATCAATATAACTAACAAAAGGCCCCATCCTGAGTCTGTTGAAAGATGAGGAACAATGTATTCTGCAGGGAGTGAACTGGTATTGTCTTCTATCTGTCTCTTGGTAGTAGTAAAGAGAGGTTAGACATGGTCACTGTTAAATGCTGTTATCCTTTAAAGGCATTTGTATTTTCTTCTATAGATTTTTCTTTTTGCAGGAGTCACATGTTTATGTTCAACTTGCTCCTCTGTTTCCGTGCCATAAGTCAAACTGGCCAGCTAAGAGAAATGAATGCCAAGCTTGCTTGAGGAGCAGGTTAATACCTCTGGCTTGATGGGTGCTGGCAATATGTTGTACTTTCTTCTATGTATCAGAGTGAGGTTGGTGTCCCCTCATCAGAGCCCACTTTGCTTTGAGCAATTTTTCTAAGGGATAGCAAAAGGCAGCCTGTGTTTGGAGTATAGTCAGTGGAAAGCCGAAACGTGTGTGCAGCAAATAAGGCACTGGGAAAAGTAGGTCAGGGCTGGTCATGACAAAACTTGTTTAAAAAAATGTGCAGGATTACCAGGTTTTGAACAGATCAGTCCTGAGTGAAACATGTAACTCAGCTGGGAAGCTTTGTTTATCACAGATCTCAGGAGTCTCTCAAAGCACCCGTGTTTACTAGCAGATGCCCCACCACTGACAGGATGAGGCTTTAATGAAGTTTAGGAGGAGGAGACTGCTACTAAATAGGAGACTGAATTTATTCAGAGCAAATAAAAACTTGGTTTAAGAAGTATAATGAGTTCAGCTAATTCAACTTATTCACACTAGCAGAAATTTCTAACATTCCAATAATCTATTGTGATACTAGGAAAAAATATTTTTTAGTGGTCCCAAGAAGCCTTTCAGGTTCAAGTTTGACCCAAGTATAGCACTCAGAATGCCAGATTTGTCTTTAAGGAATTTATTATTTTTCCCTTCATTGCTATAGGCTGCACTGTGCTGCAGTAGGGGTGTGTTTTCTGAAACAGATATTCAAAAAGAAACCATATTGGGATACACAGTACAAGCACTGAACACTTTTCCAAAAAGATAGGCAAAGAAGTCAAGAAAAGTGGATTTATGCTCACTTCAAAGCATCATGCCTGATTATTGGGCAAAGAAAAGAAAGATAACTGCAGCATGATCAGTAACAGATGAGGATTTTGGCTGTGTAAATGTTATTTTCCTGTCAGGATCACACTGTCTCCATTCTGAGCCCAGAGCACGTGCACTGGCTGTCTTCTCAGACCCTCCTTTTCAAAGGGGCAGCTCAGCTCCGGGTGCATGGGTCAGATGCAAGCTGAGGAGATCCATCCACACATTCGTGTGCCTGCAGCCTCCTGAGAAGTAACAACCTGCTATTCCTCACCAGTGTCTTGTGAAAGAAGCACGATTTGCTGCACAGCAGAGCTTATCACCCAGATTTTGACAAAGCTAGTCACAATAGCTTGGCACTTTTAATTGAGCTTTATGGAAATCCTGGCAGTTAAGTTTTCCTGTCTGTCTTTTAACCGTGCTGTACTTAGGGAAATACTGAATCATGGAAAAGCAAACATTCTCTCCCCTTCAAGGACATGGACACTGGAAAGCAGGAGGGGAATTAAGAGGACATATAGTGGATTGTTGAGAATTTTCTGCTGGAAAAATTTCCAAGGAAAAATATTCATCTCCTAAGAACAGGCACTTGGTAGAAAAATTTCAGGTTTGGAAAGAGCATTTTGGTTTACACTGGGAAAATGGGCATGTTGGTTCTGCCATTCCTAGTCAGATAAATCTTACCAGCTGTGCTCTCTGCCTGCAGAACTTTATCAGAGGCTCATTGTGGAGCACCAAAATAGTTCAGTTCTGCACCATCTTGGCCCTTCTCCTGCTCAGTTCTCTCTGGAATCTAGGCAAGTGGGGTAAGACTTCCATAACCTACATTCCCACACTTTTAGTCAGACCTACACTCACCTGTTTGTGCAACATCACCTTATCTTGCAGTGTATTTCAATGGGCAGAGCTGGAATGCATCAGAATTGGGTTCAGTTTCGTACTCTGACCTGGGCTCCACAGAAAATGCTAAAGAAATCAAGTAGCCTGAAGACATAAAATGGGGATAATAATAATTCCCTCCATTACAGGTAAGGGTCTCAGGATAATTTATGGTAGAGACTATGAATAACCATATATGACCAAAAATGGAGCATATCAAAGCACAGATATGTATTGTCATCAGACAGGGGAACAGATTCAGAGACAAGAGCTTGAAAACTACCTACCCATGCTGTAGTCATTAAAGCCATCCTGAAGGCAGGCAAGGGCAAAATTCCATGTGCTCCTGATGTTTTGGCTTTTTGTGCCTCTTGAATTTGAAACAAGTTGTGGAAGCTACAAGGCACCAGAAGCAGTGTCCTTTGCCCAGTATGACCAGAACAATCCTGCCCCATGTTGTCTGTGCCAAGAAGGAAAGGTCAGGTCTGACATGTGACCCTTTTCTAATGTCAGTGGCAGGGGCCCATGGGAAAAATTAACAGCTTAAAAGATATTCCTTGTCAAAAAACATTCCTCTGAGGAGAGGAATATGGAAGTGCAGAGCAGAATATGGAAGTGAGGGAGAAAGCTTCAGTGTTGGGGAAAGACACCCTTCCTACATTGAGCAGACTGTAATATTAAAAGATTTCTTTTTACATTAGTGAAAAAATATAGAGTAATGTGTAAAAGTAAAGCCTGCCAAATATTGAGGCCAACTGATTTCAATATAGAAACGAAGTAGCAAGTTCTCATGTCTCACAGGCATTGTATATTTTTTATTTTAGCACAATGTGTTAAAAGGTGGCTTTGGTACAATAGAGTACAGGTTTTAAAAAGTCTGAAAATGGAATGGACTTGTAGACTGTTCAAGTGTCCTCAAAATATTTTACTGCAAAATCTGGAACCAGACATGATATTCAAACACAAAATACCAACCACCTTCCAGCATCATACCTCAGAAGTCATTAAAGGATCATATTTTTGTATCAAGGATAAATTTAAGAGATAGGCTAAGCTTTACTGAAATTGTTGGTTACGAATGTGTCCTGTTTGCCTTCATAAAAGATAAAACTAGCAAGATTTGATTACAGTTAAATTGATTAAATTAAGTTAATAATTTCTCTTAACTAAGGTGTAGAATCTAATAGAAAACAGTTTGGACTCTTTCCTTCCGTATATCTCTGGACAATTTCTGTCCAAATTAATTTCTATTAATTCAGATAATATTCTTTATAATATTTTTTGCTTTTTTCCAATTTAGTCAAAAGCAGGAATTTATTTGGCAAAAGTATTGACATTTCTAACTTACCACACCTAATAAGCAAGTAGTATAAGAGCCAAAAATCTTGAAAATATGCATCCAGCATTCTGTCCTCTGCTCATACAGTGCTTTAAACAGGATTATTTTCATCCTTCCTCTTGTGTAGGAACTGGGAGAGCTTGTCCAAAACATTTCAAAAATGTATATGTTAATTATGAGATAAAAAAAAAAAAAAGTAGAAACTAGAATGGGAAAGTGGCAGAAAATCATGTAGCAAACACTTTGCCATTTTTGTTTGATTTATGCCCTTGCATTTGCATGACAATATTTTCAGCTGAATCCTGCACCATTAATGTCAGTGAACTTCTATCATTAGTGGTCAATAACTTGCTCGAATGATCTGATTTTTATAAATTGCTCTTCAGTTCTGTATCTGCTCTTCTTCCCTGTTCCATAGCTATTTCTTTGTCAGTCTGTTTATTTACATTGAGACCTGCAGCTACAGATCAAAGTTTGCAACTTGATCTCAGTAATGTCTTGAGCTAATTAAAACCTAGTTGTAGAGGCAGGTTGATGAATAATAGTTTTGAAA